TATGTGCACCTCCGTGATACTCAGGACACGGGTGTTATTCCTACGTGCTGAGATGAGAAGTCTGTCCACAGCAGTAGCACAACCCCANTCCTCTCCAGCTAGCGCGCACAACACAGCAAGCAGTAGAACCTGCATGCACTCATCATACCACTCGTAGCGGATTCTACCTCGCGCAAGGCGCGCCATCCCCTCGCTCCGTGTCGGGTGCGGTGATGGGGGAGCGCGATCGTTGGGTTTCACGGCGTGCAGCGGTGCAGCTGTGGGGTTGATTTTTTTTTAACTTGAGGCTGCGCCGCTGCTGGCCTTCGCCAGGCAACGTGCGGCGGAATATTTTTTCATGTCAATTTACCAACCGTTACCTTTTTTTGTGTCAATTTGCCAACCGTCACTTTTTTTGGTGTCAATCTATCTCAGTCCAAAATGTTCGTGTCAATTTAACGTGGGAACCCAGGAATACCCGAAGCAAACCCGATGTCCGCCTCCCCAACAAACCCCACGCACAAATGCTGGCAAAGGCGCGTTATCTTTTCGGTGGTCGTGGAGCTGCACGGACACAAGGGGGCGAGGGACGATAGGCCCATGCTGTATGGGTCATCTTAATGCCATCCCATCTGTTTTGGACACGATGTCCTCAATCCTCAACCTCCTACGACGTGTTGTAGCGCCTGACACAGATGAACTTGAGTGGATATACATATATACATACATGTAGACTAGTTGATAACCGCTCTCTTTTCGCCTTCTGCACCCTCCACCCTCGCCTGATCCCTGTGGGATGGAGAAGGATGTGCCGTGAAGCTTAACGTACTGCGTAGACGAGAAGGGGGGGGAGAGGGAGTGGCAGAGCGAACGAGCGAGAATGGGGGAAATTGAGCATGCTTCGATTTCCGGAGATATGCCGAAAAGTCCCACAGCGCTGATCGCTGATTGGTCGGTGTGCCTTTAAAATGAAGGTCCCGTCCCCCGCTCATACATTGCTGCTCAGACTCCGTACTCAGTACTACACTGCGTGATCATTGCATGTGGCTCTCGCCGTCCTGCAACTGCTGTGCGGTTGTTGCTGCGGTAGGCAAAGACTAAGCGACTACAGCACTGTACAGTAGTGAGTCAAAATTGAAAGACAGTTCAGATCCCCGGAGGCCCATACTCCTGATACGCGCTCCTCCTTCACAACCCCCAGACACAAAGTCTGATAATTCGGGGGAATCCCGGTGCCTCTGTCCTCTGCTTTCCAAGGGCAGATGGCTGCCAGCGCGCTCCCCCTGTGTGGCGTCCCAGGTTGTCGTCAATCCTGCTTTGTCGAGAACGGCAAGGTTCACGGGTACTGCGGCAAAACCCATGCCCAGGAAGCTCAGAACCAGGTTCCCGGCGCAGGTGTAGGCCATCGGACTAGGGTCTGCCAGGTGAGACATTCGCTAGTTACGAAATTGGAGTGGTGGGTGCCTAGCGGTAAGCAGGCCGCGGTCGGTTTGCGTACATCAGTTCGATTCTATTGACGAGACGACATCGAAAAAGGAGTAAACTTCGAAGTTTTACAAACAGGGCATCAGAAAGCCCCCCCCGCCCCCAGTGGGCGGGTGGGCCCGAATCGCATGTGAAGGGAAGTTGAACAAAGCACAAATGTCGAGAAATAATGTGCATGTTAGAGCTGCAAAATGAGAAGAATTTGTTGTGAAGGCTTCTGTAGGAAGGGCGCACAGGGCGGGCTTGCCCGAATCGCACATGAAGGGACGCGAAGGAAATACGCATGATGTAAGCGCGTGATCTCCGACCGCATGGACAACTTTCATGACCACATGATCAATACTCATGATCCTGTTGGAGACGGAAAAAACTTGGGTCCCTGACCAATGCAAGGAGCGCTTCCAAACGACTACACACATATGAGCCGGACCGATTTGAAGTTCAGTCAAGTTCAGTACGAAATAAGACATGAGCCTTCCACACCGAGGTGTATCTCTATGTGCGAATTGTCGGTCGCGCCACCAAACCGCGTTGTGTGGCGCTTTGTGCATTTTTTTTTCCGTTTTTTCTGCGCCTGTTTCAAATCTGGTCGGATGCTCAGAGCCAGCTTCTTTCGATACAAAGTTGAACGTGTGGCACGACTTCTGCTCAAAAAACCACGCAGCATCTGCAGCGATCGCCAATGGGCAGCAGACCTGTGATGGAGGTGGCAAGGGTACCTCAACGTGCAGGTTTCCCGGCTGTTGAAACGGCGTATTCCGTGATCCCACCACCGGTCAACTGAGAGCGTTTCACGGGGTCTCTTCTGCTGTGTAAATGGATTCATCGGATGATACCGTTGATGCCATCTTGCGATGAGTCGTAGCGGTCGTTCCGTGGTACTGCTTTCTTCAGGATACAAACATGTGTATGCTTCCAGTAAACGATGCGCGCTCCATGTTGCGTATACATATGTGCTGACACACAACATTGTGGAGAAGCTTTGCTAGAGATTCGGCCTCATGTCGGTGATCAAATGCTGTTCGCTTGCGGTTGGTACGATATGTATCAATATGGAATAAAGAGTGGCAGATTTTTTCCGCGCGAGAGATTTCGGCTGATCTGATTGTTGGAGGTTGCGTTGGGGTGCCCGGAGATTCGTGAGCACCGATGACACGGAAGCAGGACCTGCATGTGTTTTGCATCCTGCCTGACACACACGTGATTCCGACGGTGCCGCAGGGAGCCGGATACTGCAGCAAGCATCACCGGGCGAAAGCAATGGGAAGCGCGACGATTGTGACAGCCGTAGGACCCCACGTGGATCGCGTGTTGAGCGGGGGCACCATCCCGGCGCGACTAGTTTCAGGCTGTGTAGCCTCTCGAATGCCCATCCTGAGTATTTGTCGCTTCTTAAGCAAGTCAACAGCAAGTCGGACAAGTCAGCGCCGACCACTGTGCAGCGTCTTCGAGGTGCAGGTACGCGGAGAATACCGTAAGCGTCGGAGTCCCCCCCCCCCCTTAGAGTTTCCCCCCCTCATTACCTTTTCGGCCTGCGAGCATGCATACGTTGATTTACCCCAGGGGTAGATTGATTTCGCCAACCGAAAAAAAAGCTCCCCGCGGGGTACGTCGATTTCCCCCGGGGTACAACTTTTCCCACGAGTTCCCCCCGGGGGGGGAGTGATTGCGCTGTTCTTGAGTCGTTTTTTTCTATCGTGAAGCATAGAAAGCATGATAGGGTACAGAAAAGTCATCTGAACATCTGCGCTTCGAGCGAGGTATGTGTTGTACCGCGGTAATTGGCATCCTTTTGCCTCTTGTATGATTGCTCGTAAATTTTATCGATCGCGGTCGCCACTCTGTGTGCGTGTGGACGACCATTAATATTCAACCCCCCGGGGTAACACCCTCCGGAGTAGCATGGGAAACAAAAAACAACCAACCCCCCCGGTACGTCAATTTCCCCCTGGGGAGGTTGATTTCAGACAAAAAAAAAGATCCCCTACGGGGGAAAAACTCAGGCGCTTACGGTAAACTGGAATCAGATGGCGTGCATCCTCGTGGGCGTCCCTCCCATCGGCACACGAGGTGCATGCCTTTCTTATGCTCAGGTCAGGCTCGCCGTTGCCATATTTTTACCAATAGACTGTGCAATTTCGAAATACTACTTTGATGCGTTCAATCTGACGCAGGGAGCGCACGCGTGCCGGCAGCCAGTCCGGCCCTGGATAACTGCAATGAGATGCAGCCCCCCCCCAAGAAAAACTGGGCACACACGCTGTAAGAAGGAATCTTATCTTGACGTCCCCCTCCTGGCTTCCTTGTGGCACCGGCCGCGCTGCCATCACCTCTATCGTTTCCATGACCAAGGTACCCGCCGATGTCTACCGCAGGACTGCCGCATACAAAATATCAACGGGCAACGTTAAACGTTGCTTTCATGGTACCGGCTGCTCTGCCAGATGCTCCTTCTTCGCCGATCCGAAAGTGAGCAATGCACGAACATGAAAATCATCACCAGAGCTGGTTGTTCGCGTTTCTTGCCCTTGGTTTCTCTCGCCGCGGGCGCCATGCGCCGTTTTGTTGCTGACCGCTTACAAAATGCGCCCGGTATTTTCGATACCCAGTGCTCTTCGCTTCATCGAAAAAACTACGACTTATTGTCGCGTTTTTGGTGCTTTCGTGGTTCCGAGGCCCGAATTTGTGCCGGTTTCCGTAGACCCGCGCCACGTCGGCGAGAGAAGAGCCGCCCGGAGGTGCCGTCCTAAACGGTGAGCTGCGTCTCGTTCTCTCGCATGTCTTTTCTCAGCCTGTTTTCCTGGCCTGTCCTCTTGTTTGAAACGCTACTGACAATCGAAATCTTTGCAGGGTAGATCTTGCGGGGGGCAAGGAGTGCAACGTGTGCAGCATTTGTACCCATGGTTTGTTGCTCAAGGGTAGCGGTGGCCTCTTCGGGAAGGGCCTGTACTTCAGCAGCCAGCCTGACAAGGCAAACGCTTGTGCTCAATCGTCCCAAAAGGTGAATTGTCAAACATGTTAGTCACTACGCATGCACAGCAGCCTCAGACGCTACATGACAATCGTCAGGGGCACAGGAGATTGTACCAATGCCACACTCAAACCTGAAGTGGCATGCACTACCTTGAGATGGGTATCTTTTTATCTCTCTCCAACATAATCAAACCTTTTCACGCATGCCGGCTACCCTTCGGGTATCTTTTCGTCGCCGCACAATTACCGCCGTCGTCTACCGATTCTACTGGCTGACCATTCGCAGACCGGCAGCGACGGGAAACGGCTGAGGTGCATGTTCGTCGCCAACGTCTCGGCAGGCAACGCGTTCCTCACCAACCAAGGGTCGCTCCCGTCGAACATGTGCCCTCCCCCCAACTACGACTCCGTTGCGAGGGAGGTATGTTGAACAAGTACTCAGTTGTTTCGCCGCTTCTTGTGATCATGCTGAGCCAAGATCTCTTCGCTTTGGTGGGGGGTGTATCTCAAACCTTTTCACTTCAGTCCCAGATTTCCTTTTCAATTATGGGGGGAGTTGTAACGATATTTCTAGTCACGTCAAAACGTACCATGTTTAACGTTGCAAGAGACCAACAATCCCATGCTGGCGGCCAACCTGCTCGATATCTATAACGATGGGTCATGTCGTGCTTACCTAGTCTGTTCACAAGCTTGCAAGCAGTATGTTGAGATGGTCAAATGTATCGCTTGAGAGGTTGCTCTGGAAGCTCAGCCTTTCAATGTAAAATTGAGGTGACATACGTTCAACCGAACACATCAGCCGGGGGACTCGACTCGTTCTCGGGTTTGAACAGCAAAATTTAAGGCCGCAGTTGTTAAGGCATCCGTTCCCAAGTCAAAACGTAGTAAACTTGACTTGCGATGCCAAATGATTCCTCGTTTTTCGCCGGCCTGTTGTTCCCTGCAGCGACGGGAACACCTCATCGCCACACCGATTCTGCATGCCGCTTCGTGAAAAGAGGGAAGAAAAACCTTAGCTCTATCCCTCTCTCGGCCGCCGCTATGGAAGTTTGAATTTGAAAACATACTCCGTAACTATCGTAACAAACTACTCACCTTGCACCATCAGTACCCGGCACCCCTTACAATCCTTCTTCGGCCGGTGGTTCAGTTTTCTTTCATGAGCTGGGTGGTGTTGAGGAAACACCGGATAGTTTGGGAATCTTACGTTTTCATCGCGATCGAAGCCGTAGAGGGTGCGACGCTGGCACTTTGAAGCGTACACCACGTCTATGGTCGCCACGGCCTTCTGGTGGTTGTGCCTGCACCTCCTCGTGTACACTGGCACTTTGAAACGTACACCACGTCTATGGTCGCCACGGCCTTCTGGTGGTTGTGCCTGCATCTCTTCGTGCATGCGTCAAGAGATACGCCTGCCAGTGCCCTTTAGCGATGCCCTGACCCGTGTTGCCCTTGCCAACACCCTCACGGCCCTTTCCGCACCCAGGAAAACACAAACCAAGCTCGATCTACTGGACGCCCCTTTTGGCTTGTATCTCTCTATAGCTGGATCGGGAGCAACTGACAAGGTGATATCTGGACGAGACGCGACTCGAATCAAAACATCCAAATTCTACACGCCACCTTCAACTACGGGCCAGCGTCGGTGAGACCAATGGGGTCGTGTAAGCCAACAGCTTGAGCATGTGTGTGTGTGTGTGTGCTGCTCCATTCTGTTCTGGCCCCAGTTTGCACACTTTTCGGTGCGTTCCACAATACGCCAAACCGTACACAATAGTACATCCTTCACAAAAATAGGACCCTTCACGCGCGACCAACCAACTTTCCCGCCGAACAGAAAAGAATCTTGCATATCGAGCACTCACCTGATGGCGCAGCCGACAGAGGTGGTGTCGACTGCTGCTGCAGTTACCGGATCCCCGTTGTCCCAGAGTAGCGACAAAGTTGAATTCGCTGATCAAAGCACTGGTTGGGTGCTAGCTGCTGCTCTCAGAGGGCGGGGGTCTTACAGTTCACCTCCATACCCTCCTGTTGATGAAGACAGGAGGGAACACATCTTGAGGTGAAATTAGGCAGAGGGGGTCCTCATCAAGACGAGAGTCACATGACCAGAATCGCAAGGCGATTAATGAAGACTAGCTGATCGTCTTTGTGCTGCATTGTATTGCCTCGAAACGCCTCCAACAGCAGAATTCTGGTATGTCGTGCTCACACGCGAAGCACCAAAAACAGGATCACTTCCTGTGACAGAGAGCGCGCTGTCGAGTCGGAGTCGGAGTCGGCATGGCGCGTTGCGGAAAGGGGAGAAAAGCGGCGTGATCAAGGGATGCAAATGCGTTTCTCACCAACATCCCGGCCTCTTCTTTTAACCACCACCACTCTCAGCGTTGAGGCCAAAATAACCATGCGCCACTCCTCTCCCCTGCCCCAAGGTCGCTCTCTCTTGGCGCGTTTGATAAAATGCGAAGGGGCTCCGTGGCATGTTGACAACGAACGTAGACCCCGGCACGGGGGGATCGACAGAGAGAGGAAGCGAGAGCCCAAACCGCGGCGTCAGAAAGAGAGAGAAGGCGCCAGGGAAGAAGAGATGACCAATCGCACGGGAAGACAGATAAGAGAGAAAGGTGGAGGTAGAGAGAATCGAAAGAGTAGATCGATCTTTTGGAGAAGGCTGCACTAGCCGATTCTCGGGTGAGAGAGTACAGGATTAGATCTTTGGTGGATCTTGTCACACATACCAGATCGCACCAGCTGTGTCGGCGGATCGGCCTTGTTTGACTTGGGGGACTGGTGTGTGGTGCCCTCTTTGTGCCGAAGCGTACTCCTTCAACCAAAAAGCTTGCGTAGCGGCGACTAGAAGAGAGGATTTGTCACGATCTTCGTCGATTTCTCACTGTTACCTCAACCAACAAGAGCCACTAAATGCCTCCGCGAATCACTTAGTTTTCTCCTCATGTATCGCAGTTTTGAACGTCGACCTTTGCGAGTTTGACGCGAGGTTCTGGTTGGAATATTGGAATACACATGAAAATATGTGATCAAGGTCTCATTTGTTACACATGTCATTTTGAAAAGCCCGACGAAAAAAGTTGTTGCCCTTTTGGGCGAAAGGAGTACGAAAGAGAGAAACAACCGAGAGGCTCCGCGGCTAGCTACCTCGCGTTCTCCATTCAAAATCGGGGAAAATCCTAGTGAGAAGTCGATATTGTAATTCGTAGCGTTAAAAGCTCCAGAGGTAATATGAGCCTTTTGACGAGGGGGGCTGTTTCAGCAGTGTATGCCTATCTGTTTGTGAGAAATGCACTGGCTGACTATCCATACACGTGTTGGGACACCTTAACGATGACTCGTGTGAAGGGATTGGCTACATTGTATTTATAAAGTACTGAGAGCTGCGTCCGACTTTGATAAGCGAATGTGTTTTACCTACAAGTCGCTTCGCTCAAGCTTGTTTGCTAAAACAAATGATGTGTGTACGGTAAAAAGCAGGTCATCTGGCATTTTGAAGGAAACTGCCTAAACAAAGGGTTTTTGGCGCGGTAGCTCTGAGGCCATCGTCGCGTTTGACTAGACGGACCGAGACGAGAAACCCATATATCACCGTGCTCAAGTGCACTCACTATAACGATATGGGCCACGAAGGGCGGAGTTGGGCTAGTATTTAATGTACCAAGATGGCCCAAAACAATCATGATTCACACCACAATAATACCCCTGGTTTTGGTGCCTCAATTCAGGCGTAACAAACCACACGTCGAAGGGATTCGTCGCGAGATGGAGAGAAGGAAACCCGGGTTATGCGCGCACGATGGCTGCGGTATATACGGATCACTCTCGAAACCTGGAGGTAAGTTGTACAAGTGAACCTCATAGCTGACGGTGCCTTGTAGGCCCCAACACCGCTGGTGAAATTTGCGGCTTGTAAACCTCAGCATCGCCAGTGAAATTTCCGATGATTGGCGTCAGTAACTCCGGCGGTATATACTATATTTGCAACGGCATAACAGCTTGCAAACAATTACCACAACATGTTCGACCCCCACATGTTCAACTTTAGTTCTTCCTCTGCTGCTTTTATTGCAGAGAAAAGACGGTTCTGCTTAGGGCACGCACAAGGAGACATGATGAAAATCCACAACAAAAAGTGTCAAGCATCAGGTTGCAGTAAGCAACCGGTGTTCGGTAAGGAGGGCCAACAGGCGTCCATGTGCGCGACGCACAAGTCGAACGGGATGAGGAACGTGAAGAACAGGACATGTGCCGACCCCTCGTGCATGAAACAACCGTCATATGGCTTCAGTGGGGAGGCAAAGAAGTTTTGTGCGCCGCACAAGCTCGACGGTATGATCAACATCAGGAGTCAGCACAGCCGGCGATGTTCCTTCCCAGCTTGCACGAGGTCCCCGTTGTCCGGCTTTCCGGGGGGCACAAACCGTCGCTGCTCTCGACACCAGAGGAGGGCATGATCGCCGGTCCGACTCGGCAGGTCGGGAGAAAACGCTCAGCCAAGAGCGGGGAACAGAGCGCAAAACCGGTCGTGTCGCCCGCGGCCCCTTCCGACGAAAGCTACGACAACACTGAAGAGGCGGCCAGGGACTGGGGTACGCAGCCTAAGAGGAAACGCGTGGCCGAGACCCCCACCCCCGCCTATGCCCCCGCCCCCAACGACGCCGAGAACAGCGTTAGCTCAACGGCAGCCGGGGAGTGCGGAGAGGCGACGAGCGGAGAAGCAAAGGCAAAACTACCCCAAAACTCCAAATGGATTGAAGGATGAGACAACTTTCGCCGCTGGGGATCTGGTTGCTGGTGCTGGTGACAGTGGAACTGCTGCATCATCGCGAGTGGTCACCGATAACGACCAGTCGAAAGGGCGCGGGAGTCAAAACTCTGGGGGTAAAGGGACCCTGAGGGGCCTTGCGGTGGGTAGTTTGCAAAGGGGAGCTACCGTGGTGTCTGGCAAGGCGAGCGCGAAACCTACGGCTTCCCCGAGGGGCACCCAGAAAGTCGACGCAATTGAAGGATGCCCGCCATTTTCGCTCCCTGTCACCGCGGTTCGGCCTGGCTCAGGGATCGATGGTAGGTCGCAAAGGGGAGCTACCGTGGTGTCTGGCAAGGCGAGCGCGAAACCTACGGCTTCCCCGAGGGGCACCCAGGAAGTCGACGCAATTGACGGATACGCGCCGTTCTCGCTCCCTGTCACCGAGGTTCGGCGTGGCTCAGGGGTCGATGGTAGGTCGCAAAGGGAAGCTACCGTGGTTTCTGGCAAGGCGAGCGCGAAACCTATGGTTTCCCCGAGGGGCACCCAGGAAGGCGACGCAATTGACGGATGCGCGCCATTCTCGCTCCCTGTCACCGCGGTTCGGCGTGGCTCAGTGGGCGACGGTAGCCCCCCTCCTGTTGCTGCGTCTCACAGCGGGTTTGCTGATCGGACTCGTGACAAAGCTGATGGCGGTGACGGTGTTGGAGGCGCATCATCATCACGAACAGTATCCAACGTAACCGGAAAATGGAGGGGGAAGGGATGCTTGAGCAGTCTGAAGGCGAGGTGCAGCCAGAAACTGTAAGCAATTTTCAGCGAGTTTGAGACATGGGCAAAACGACTTCCTGATGGATGGGGTTTCAAAGTTAGTGATACCGTGCCGGTGATGATTATTGGCACGACGTTTACAGTAGAGCAGGACTGCACTCACGTAGAACAGAAGGCGCGAAGAAGCTCAAACGGTAATGTATAAGGAGAAGAATGCCGCAAGAATGGGAGATCGGTAATATCTGGGGATAACGTGGTTCAAAAAATGGAGAGACAACGGAACAAGATAGGAGGGGACAAAAAAGTAAGGAAGAGTTCGGGGGGTACAAGAATTACGGATCGAAGTAATTGAAAAGTGAGCACCGCCTAGAGATTTACGGGGGACTGAAAGAAGAAACAGTGATGGAAGCTTATTTAAAGGGCCAGATGGACGCCGTGAAAAGGCTTGAATTGCAAGCTAGAGTAGCGGGGGCAAGACTTGCCAGAAAGAACGATGAGATGCACCAGTAGTATGACCGGAGGATGAGAGGGCATGCAGGTTTGCCCATGTGGCAGCGCAAAGGAGAGGACATAGTTGGGAGACTGTGAACTATATCGAGAGATGAGAAAAAGGATGACCCCTGGCAAGAGTTTGGTGCATGGAGCATGTTGCGGACGGTATGTGGCCGGTGACGCCCGTCTCCACATCACTGCTGACAAAGACGCAGTAGAGAGTACGGCGAGTACTCCGGTGTTGATACGCAAGGAAGCCGAAGGAGGAAGTTGATGGGAGACATGCCCCACAGATGTTACGCGAGAGAGACTGGTAGGTTTGAGTCGGGCATAAAACAACCGCCGCACGTGCCATCGACTGACTCCACACGGGCGGCCAACGGTACCTTGTGTGGCGTTTTCCCATCGAACGATTGTCTGTCTGACACTTGGTCGCCAGATTACGCAACCACACCCGTCACAATGTCGAGAGGTTGTATTGCTTGCAGCCAACGTTCTAAGGTTGTGCGAAAAGAACAACGTGGTCGGGTTTTCCGTTGGGTTTTGCGTGCAAAAGACGTCCGGTGGTGTTGTCACAATGGAATGGGGACAAGTATATATGTCACCCGATCTTTCGTCTTCAATTCTGCTCCTCGTGTCTCCCCCAAAACTCCCTTTTCTTGCAGCATTCGGAATCCCCATCTTCACACGGGACTGGGCCTTCTTGTGCACTGTACGACGTACTTATCTCAAGAAAATCCAACCCATCCACCCGAGCTTCCTTGTTCCGGAATTGGTACGCGACGACCTTGCTCCCCGCCCCCCGTATGCAATGCTCATTCCTCATCCTCACTCATTCCATCCAGTCATATCTCCCCCGTTCATACAAGAGTATCACGGTCTCAAAACAGAGAATTTACTCTACCCGCACCCGGGCACATTGGCCCCACGCGTGTCGGAGGGCGCCCGTTCGCATGTCAACACAGGTTTACACGGCGTCTACGCTAGATGGACGCTGCGGGAAAGACCGCGAACGGCCGAGGGTGAGGGAAGAGTAGTTGCTGGGAGAAAGAAACAGCAGAGTTTACCAAGGTGGTAGCAAGCCAGCGGCAAGGTTTTCCTTCAGAATATGCCGTGTCCGTTGTCCGAAAATCGGTTGTAGGAGACATTAAGCGAGGTAATGAGAGTGGACACAAGTTAACTCTTGCACATCGAGAGCAAAGTCTTTTGTATCACACGCGCTTGCGTTGAGGCGATGATTGCGCCACCACGCTCTTCTATTGTTTCGGGCAGGCCAACCGCCAAGGTTGCTTGGTTGGCGGCAGCATAACTAAGCCCTATCGCGCCCTCCCCACACCCGTCCGGCGCTCGTTGACAACCGGCGCCGCCTCTACCGCGATTGACAAACAAGTTTCCTCCGCGACCACATCCGCGCGAAATAGATCCTGAGAACCCGGCTCGAATGCACCGGTGACTTGGTGTTGAGGCAAGGCACCGTCAACGTGTTCCACTTCGCACACCGCCAGCTGATGAAAAGAAAGCAACCGCGCGCCATAAAAGAATACATGGTTTATTTTCTCCAGCCGCAGACTCATTTGATGAGTGTGAAATCGCGGCGGAGATCAACTCCAAGAACTCTTCGTTCTCCTTCTGTCCGAGAGACTCTTTCAGCGTGTCGATTCTAGCCTCGTCAAAATCTACGTGCTCGCGTCCGATCGACTCCCATGGAAGAACACCGTGGGCTGAAACAGGGTGTTTTGCTCGCGAGGTTCTTCAAAGCCTCCATCTTGAATGGTGGCTATCGACGAAATATGCTTGTCGATGACCTCAACCCAGGCCAGGCAGTGTGTGTCCGAAGCGCACAAGGCTCTCCGCCACACTAACAAACAGCGCCATGAACTCGGCACGGAAATTGTGTTCAATCGCACGGTGAGTTTTCTTCTCCTAGCGAATGATAGTGTTGTCGAGCAGAGTATCAACTCTGTCGTTGCTGATGGAAACGCTGAAGATCTTTGTGACCACGTTCCGATCGTAGTCATCGATTTCACGAAAGCTTTAGCACGCCTCTTTCGCAAGCCCGCCATTGTCCGGATCGTCCGCAACCAACACGGCGACATACATGGCGATTTCGACCTTGCAAACATCAGTGCCGCGATTGGGAAGCCCCAGCTTTGAGTACTCCGGAAATGCTTTGATCAGGTAGGACGATGACCTTGTTCTCAGGAAGGAGTTTTCTCATTTCTTCGTACGATGATGCGTGCTCATCGTTTCCTTTGAGGTATCGGATCGCGTTGGAGCAGGTCGTGACCCTTCCATGCAGCGGCGACAACATTTTCATGGCTGAAGCGGAAGCGAAATGACGTGTGACTTGGTAGCGTGGCGTGGAAGATATTGTTTCGATGAAGTACTTCCCGACGAATTCGTGTCGACGTCATCCAGGACGAACTTGACGACGTCCGCGTGCAGGTGAAGGATGTCAAGTATTATGCAGAAGTTGTGAAAGTTGTGTGCAAGTGGTGAGGGCAGGAGTGGCTTGGATTTACCCGACATGCGTCTTGCCGGCAACTTCGTTGACCGTCAGACCCGAGTGTCACTTTCGCGCATCCGAAACCAGACTAAGCACTTCCCCGGATCAGACGTTGCATCTCACCGTCCCTTTCCCTTTTTTTTTCACGCCCCAGTCCGTACGCTATGTCCCACAATGACTGTATTTTCTCCTTTACTCTGTTTCGCATCCTGCGCTTTGCATCATCTTCGTCACTGGATTCTTCTCCGAGAGACTCAAGTGTTGCTTCGGCCATAGAAACAATCTTAGAAAGGACGTCAAACGCGTGTCGGCAAGGAACGGATACGTTTTCCCGATTTTCTTGAAAACGTCGCTATCGATAAAATAAATATATCCACTGCCCCCCGGAATTCATGACTGCTTGTAGAAGCTTCAACGGATAACTCCGCCAATTGGAATCAATTTCCGTAGATCTCATCGACCCCTTTGCCGCATTCTCCATGCGCATAAGAAGATGGTAAAAGGTTTCCCCGAATACAAAAGGATTCATGTCCATTTTCCTTGCATTCAGGGGAGCAACCAGTTCCCTGGCCTTGGCCAAGCACACCGATCTATCGGACAAATCCAACTGGATTTCAAAGTCGTAACGCGGGAAAACATGCTTGTACAGCTTCCATAGGAAGTTTCCTACGATCCCGGCATTCTTCGCCTGTATCTTAAGAGCCATGCGAACTTCCGCGATGGTGTTGCCCTCGAAACCCACGACCTCCTCGACGACGACCCCATACTCGAGTTGCGAGCTAGGTGTTATGGCCAAACGTTCAAGACGCTTGAACGTTTCTGTGGACTTGACGTTTCCCAGAGATGCCGGGTTTGAAAACCGCAGCGCCAACTCTCTCCTCCGGACCCCCTTGAATGAGTCACAGAGTGTTTTTTTCTCGTCCCATGAGAGGATCTTCGGGGACCCAAAATCGTTCTCAGAGGTTCCATCTGCTTTCGACAAAACGTCAACTCTCTGCGGTGGCATGCTCGACTGTGTCCATCCGTGCGACTAGTTCCCGGTCGTGGACACCTGTCACATTCACGGTAGAAGGAGAGAAGTTATCCGCTTCTCCCTGCATTGATGCCGCACGATACTCTGTGCAAACAAAATAAAACCAAGCTTTTGGGCGCACAATATTTTCAGGTACCTCTGAAACCGTGTTTCACCCGTCGATGGGCAACGTGGAAGAAGTGGAGTCGTCAAATCCATTCTCAATCACGTCAAGACGGATTCGTAAGCTTGTCACGGCCGGTTCCCCGCCAACAGAGCATGGACTCTACGGGGAGAAAGCCATAGCCATAAGATTGTAGCTTGACAATATTGATCGTGGCTAGATCAATAACGTGTTGGGTGACCGAGCCGAAAGAGGTGCAGATTGTTCAAGAAGGCGTGGATGGAGACCGTGCGCAAAAGCTCGACCGATGAATCGCTACACTCGACGAGATTCCTTTCGACCGCCATGAGCCGAGCGTAGACAGGGAACCCTGATTTTCCTGTCTCACCAATAACCATCGTCGTTTCTTTCCGATGCCACGATCCAAAGATCCCAATCCCAAAGCTCCGAGCACCACTCCCCCGTTATCCTGTCCTACGCAGACTTTTACGGTTGGTTAAGGTTGCAGGGCCGGGGCAGTTTCGTCTGGCCACCAACGTCTCTGTTATTGATACTTGTAGGAAACGTTACAACATTTGGAAACGTATTGATACCATGTATAAAGCTGTTTGGGACCCGTCCCTATTGGCCCGATTTGAAGTTTTTCGTTCTCCTCGAGTCGACCGCCTCCGGTAGGCCCAGCGCCGGCATGTTGGTGAAGGACCACGCCGGGATCAATCCCTAGCCGATTTTTTTTTCAGAGGTGCTCAGCGTCCGGAGGTGTGATGGTCGTGTGGTTGTGATCGCCGGTTAATTCTTCACGAAGACGGCCAGAGCTGGCTAGGCCTCGATTCTGATAGCTTCTGGTGCATGCCTTCATCCATAACACAAGTTGCGATACTATCAGCGCGAGAGATTGACGAGTTTTTCTACTTCTCCAACAGACGGACACGTGGCGGTTTTTTTCGGTGCACGCATACTTCCGTGCGAGCTAGACGTTTCGGTAGTACCTGCAATATGTAAGACGGGCACCACGCTGTCTCGATGACGCCGTCTTAATTTCCCGCTCATCGCTCTCGCTCTTTTGGACAAGTCGGCAAACGAGATCAGTTTTGGGCGTTCCATTTGTCTTTTCTCTCTTTGTCGGTGGTTTGGACGATGTTGTCCGTTTTCGTGGCGAGTGGGAATGTATAATGCTGTTCACGACGTGTCTTGACTTTTTCTTTCGGGCGGATCAGAGACAGTTTGGGTGAGAGGATCGGCAGACTTGCGAAGTGCCCATTGGCGAGCTCGTCACACCTTTCTGAGTATATCAGACAACGAAGCTATGATATACGATGCTCCGTTTCTGCTCTCGCTCGTTTGAAAAGTCGAGACACGTTGCACAGCTTTATCTCTCGCTCTCCGCCTGTAGTCTCCGTATGATCGATTGCTGTACGGCCTTCCGACTCTTGCTTACTCACTAGACCGAAGCCCGCGGTTGTCAACGTTAGCGATGCGAGCGCTACTCCCGTCGTGCTAACGGAGACTAAACTGTATGGAACGCGAAACAGCGCCCCCTTTCGGAGGTGCTCAGCGTCCGGAGGTGTGATGGTCTTGTGGTTGTGATTGCCGGTTAACTATTCACGAAGCCCTTGGCCAGGGCCGACTTGGTCCGAATTTCATGGCTTCTAGTATATGCCTTCTTCCAACACAAGACGCGATACTACCAGCGCGAGAGATTGGCTTGTTTTTCTACTCCTCCAAAAGAGGGACACGT